GACCAAGGAAGACCAACAGAGGGGCAGCCGCGCCACTGTCCCAGAAAGAGCTGAGGAGAGTCCCAGATGAGGGCTCACTCAGCAGCCACGGAGCATAAGGCAGGGGGGGTCTATCTATATCATGGCTAAAGCAATGCAAACTGCATTTCGTTGCCCTGTACCTGTGACGTGTGCAATGACAATAAAGTTGAATTCTATTCTATTCTATTCTATCCTATTCTATTCTATACTTACAGTCCTTTCTGTGCTCAACTGCTTCAACAGCTCAGCTGCTTCAATTACTCTGCTGACCGCTTCCTCAGTTTAGACTTAGAATCATTAGTGCCAGAGCCATTAGTCGTGCTACACCTTGTCTTTAGAACTTATAACCCCTTCACCTTCATCAGCTGGACTCTTTGGCACAGCTCAAAACCCCTCTTTTTTCATCAGCATATGAAACATTGTTTTATGTACGTTATAATCATATTATTCCTTGAATTTAAAAACTCTACAAGTATTGTTGTAGTTGTTAATTTTGGTTTGAAACATGACCCTGACCCTTTCCTAATATGCTTTTGGGGTGCATCTTCCTGCAACGCCCTTATCACTTTCAGTCATCAGGAACTAATAGACATCGGCCTCAGCATGAACCCGGACTTCATGTCAGATTGGACTGACAGCATCTCACCTGAGATTGTAAGGCTGTGGGTTATTGTTGGTAACAGCAAGCAACTCAGGCTGCTCAGGCAGAGGAAACAAAAGCGGCGCTGCAGAGCCTGCTATTGCGTTGAGCTGCAAAAACAACAACACAAACCCCTGTTTCCATCCATCTTTTTCACAAATGGCAAATCCCTCGCAAACAAAATAGAGGAGCTACAATCAGAGACTTAATTCAACCGCTTTGTCGGGGAGTTTTGTCTACTGATTGTAACTGAATCCTGGCTTTTAGGGATTCTTAAAATATTCTGATTCTGATTTTGACATCCCAGATGGCACTGAGGCAAACCGTAACAAAACCCTAACAAAGACGCTGGTAAGAAAAGGGGTTGTGAGCTCTGTCCCTATGTACTTCAGGACTGGTGCTATAAAATTAGAACTATAGACAGTCACTGATCACCAGACTTAGAGGCCATGTCCATTCAGTGCAGGCATTACTATCTACCTTGCAATTTACCATTGTTTACATGCCCTCCTACATGCTAACGCTAGCTCAGCACTCAATCACCTCCAACTTATCATCAGCAAACAGCAGAGAGAGCGCCCAGAGGGGATCCATATTGGTCCGGGTTTGCTATGCAAAAACAGCTGGAGATTTTTTGAATGGTATGTTGCTTTATTCTCCTGTGGATCATAAATGAAGTTCACGGCGAGACCGTTAAGGCTGGTAGGCCTCCTGTTCTACCTGATGCCAAGCGCCCCCTCGTGGCGGTGGGATGTTTATCGAATAATGGTGGACAGTCCCAGGGAAGCGGCCAAAAAATACAATTTTTAAAGTATGTGTTTCGTTGTATTCACTTATCTAACATTCCCTCAGGTTTCTCTTTCTTTTAAAGCCTTTGACGGTTCAAAGTCTAAGAATATTACAGAGACTGTGGGGATTTTATAGACAGTAATAACGATCCTTAAACAATGATTAAAAACGATTCTTCGTTTAATCCTCGGCTCTGTTGCATTGCAACATTCGGCTCAAGCAGCCCCAGATTTCCAACAACACAACAGCAGCAGTGAATATGATGCTGTCATAGTTCAGCGTGGAGCCAGAGTCTGTCCACAAACGCAGAGAAACACAAAAAGCTGCTGTTACAGTGACTGCGATCTCAGATGGAAAGAAAACTTTTTTTTGTTGTTGTGTCCAAAAGCCGCCCTATATGACAGCAATATCCATTAAAATGAATTATTAACAGGTTCACCATCATAACTCTTTTTGCCCCTCCTACTAATGTAACAAAAGCTTCCAAAAAGATAGAGTGAAGGCTATTTTATTTTATGCCTTAGTTTAGGTTCTCTGTATACCATCTTTTATTTGCAATTACTGGTAATTATTATTTCTTTTTCAAAAATGTTTTATTTAAAACATATCATTTTATTATGGCACAGAAAGACAAACCATCTCATTAAACTATTAAACACTGCAATTTTTGACATTTAATTCAATGAGCAGTGCATTTTATGAGACTGTGATTTTCTTTTTTTAAATATTTATTATTGCTCATACACAATGCACAAGTATTTCTTATCAAATGAATCAACAAAAGAATCAATAAAAAGCTTGAGAAGTAAAATGATTGATAGCTGCTGTCGCCGTTTGGACTCTTTCGACTTGTTTCTCTCTGATGTTTTATGGAGAAACAAGCAGACAGTTCACTTGTTGCACTCAAAGAAAGGAGTTTTATTTACAAGAGTCAAACATTTGACCAGAGCATTCTGATAAAAAAAAATCAACAGTGAAGTTGGAATATCCCAGTTTAATCACGTTATGCTGCAGTTTACATTTATTTAGCTGCCATCCTGAACACAGCCCTGGATAGGAAGACAGGAGGTAAATATGAAACCTCTTATTCTCTTTCTGTGCTGTTTATGCAGTGTTGCTATAACACTGGAGTCTGTCGCTGTTGTTTTAAATACTTTCTGCTGGATTTTGTCTCTGTCCTGTTTCCCTTTAGCTGTTTTTCTCTTTAAATAAAAAGTACAAAGTTTGCATTGTGATTATAAGTTAAAATTGGGTTTAACTTATGAGTTGCTACTACTACTACTACTCATTACTATGAGCAACTAAAGCTTTCAGACAAATATAGTGCTGCAATATATTAAAATAGGTCTATGTGTCTCCTTCTTATATAAAGTATTCATATATTCACTTGAAAAGAAAAACAATTTTCTGAGATGAAGTTGAGCTGAGAAGAAGGCATGATGTGGTATGAAATGGAAATAAATGTATGTTAAATTTTCACTGAAGCTTACCATTTGAGTCGAGTTAAATTTCACCAGTGATTATTTTTAGTAGAATATTTTTTAATATATTAATAACATTTTAAGGTCCACTTATATTGTCAAAGTGAAACGAGACTAGTCTCACTGACTGCATTAGCTAAATTTATACAAAATCTCAGAAGACAGAAAAACATGAGAAAAAAGGTACTTTCATATACTGTATTTGAAATGAAACCTTTATTTAACCTTTAAGAGCACACAATCAACATTAATAAACAGCAGAACTACTCAAAGATCCAATAAAACAACAGCATGCTTAACTTTAACCTTCCAGAAAATCAGCATGACAGTCTTTATATATACACATTTCATTTCTTTTTTTAATGTATGCAACATCCCAGCTTTTATTGAAAAACTTTTATGAAAAATGTGTTCTGTGAAAGTAGTTAAGGATCTCCATCTAAACTGGTTTTTATGTGTAAACTCTACAGTACAAAATAATGATAAAACAATCAATTCTCTAATAATTGACTAACTGATGAATCACTGCAGCTCCAATATATTGTTGCATTTGACAACCCACTACAGCAACTACAGAATAAAACCACTAACCAGACTGATGACAGATTTCAAACATGCTGAATATGAAGAGTAGTATCATTTAAACTCACATGATTATCAGCCATAAGAACAAATTCAGATTTATATTGATGTAATAATAATAATGGATTGGATTTATATAGCCCTTTTCAAGGCACTTGCATTCACACACACTGGTGGAGGCAAGCTACGATTGTAGCCACAGATGCCCTGGGGCAGACTGACAGAAGCAAGGCTGCCATATCGCGCCATCGGCCCCTCTGGCCAACACCATTAGGGTAAAGTGTCTTGCCCAAGGACACAACAACCAGGACAGAGAGCTCAGGGATCGAACCGGCTACCTTCTGGTTACAGATACGCTTCCCAACCCCCTGAGCCACGGTCGCCCTGGTAAGGTAAGGTATATAAATGTAAGTACAGTTTGAATCAGTGCAATATTATTTTCACACATCAATGGACCACTGAACTTCTCAGCTTCTAAAATGTAAAGCCTCATTTAGAAACTACACAAGTACATATAATGGTCAGGGATCAACATGAACCTGTCTTCTCTATTTGACTTTAATCAACTCTGCAGTGGCTCCAAGTCCAAGAAAAAGTCCAGCATAGAGCGGCTGAGTGAATGTGGTCTGGACTCTGTGGAGGAGAGTCATGGTTTCAGAGACGCTGTAGAAAGACAGAATACCTGCTCTGTGATCCAGGTACACTCCTACTCTGGAGGACCAAGGACCTGAGAGGACAGTTCGTACTTTCTTGTGAAAAAATGAATAACTGTTGTTTTCACAAAGTAATGCCCAAGATTTGTTATTGTATCCAAATATACGATCAGCTGACTTTCCTACTCTTCTGATATTCTTGTATGAGACTGCTACTTCTATCCCTCTCCCTCTCCACTCCACCTCCCAGTAGCAACGTCCAGTCAGACTCTCTCTACTCAGGACTTGATCATAAAAGGTGAATCTGTCTGGATGATCAGAATAAGACTGTTGTTGTTTCAACTGTGTTGCTTTTCTGTCCCCTT